CCCTCCTCCTCCTCCTCCTCCACCTCCTCCTCCTCCTCCCTCAGCCGCCGCTGGAGAGTTTCCGCACAGGACTCTTCCAATCCCCACTCTTTTCATGCAGAAACAAACAAGACACACAAGACTAACAAAAATGGGGGGGTGGGAGGAAGGGATGGGGGAAAAGAGCAGCAGCCCAAGGGCTTCTGCCACTTCCAAGTCCGCTTGGGGAGAGCAGGCGGGAGGGGCGGGGGAAGGAGGGGAGGGGAGGGGGCGAAAAGTTTGCGCGGGTTCGCTGCTCCGGGCCGGCGGCTCGTCTGGTGTCCTTCTCCCGGGTCAACTCCTGGCGACGCCAACGGGGAGCAGAGGTTGCAAAGGGGGTGCTGGCGGTGCTGCTGGGATGCCTCTGCCCCCGGACCGGGCGCGGGGATGCTAAGCGCCGCCGCCGCCACGCCAAAAACTCGCGGAGGCAATGTTTTCATTTACAAGGTTGATTTCTGACCTTCCCGCGCCCCCCTTCAACGCGCGCGTACACACGCCCTTGGGGCTTTCCTCCTCCTCCCTTCTTTTTCCGTGGCTGTTTGAAAAAGTTACTTCGGAGACCAAACAAAGCTCGGCCGCCTCGCGCCGCGGTCCCTCTGCCCGAAGATGCGAGCCGGGAGGAGATGGAGAAGACGGAGGTGGGGGGGGGGGGAGAGATTGGCTCGCTCCGGCGACGCGCAGCCCAAATCCGTTTGGTCGGTCCGGCGTTCTCCCGGTCGTCGCCTTCTCTTTCCAACCTGGATTACTTCTTCGCCGTCGTCTTGGGGAGAAGAGAAGGGAGCAAACAGCAAACGAAGAGACGTTTGAATTCAACCCTCTTCCTCTCTCGGCTACCTCTCCCCAACACCCCCCCCCCCCCTCCCCCACCCCCCCCCCCCTCCCCACCCCCCCCCCCCCCCCCGCAAGCCTTTCTCCGAGATGAAAGAGTCTCCAAGCGCAACTTTCTCGCTCGCTGGCTTGTTTTTTTTTTTAAAAAAAAGATCTCGTGGAATAGGGCGATGCTGGTATTTATTGCGCTGATAATAGCTTTTTCATTGTGCAGAAAACGAGGTCGATCCAGTCTTTCCTTCTCCTCCCATCACTTGGTCTCGTCAAAAAAGCAAACAGTAAAAAGGAGTAAAGCCCCCGTACATACTGATCACACCGGATGGGAAATGTCAGTCACTCCTCCACCTTCCAAAGAGTCACAGATCAAACAGTGGCACCACCGAAGAGGATTACTTTAATGCCTCATTTCCCTCCCTCCTTCTCTCTCTCCCTCTCTCTTCCAAAAATCGCAGTTTCTTCTGATATTAGAATTACGCAAACACGTTTTTAACAGGGATTGTTTATAGTTGATCTCGGTCTGTAACAGAAAACAAAAGCCCCCACCGGACAATCCCCAGAGATACTGTGTGAAAGATTGGGGGGTCCAGAGAGAAGCCGAGACATTCACAGGGTGGGAGAGATTACCGTGACCTATCCCCCCCCACCCTTTAAACTCCTGGGAGAAAGAGATCTACTCTCCCTCTCTTCTCATTTCACTGAAATATAGCACACATTCAGATCCCAGAGCTTTCAGACAGTCTCAACTGATAGACAGACACATCGAGCTGCTTTTCCTGCTTCAGATTTTTTTTACTCCTCCTCCTCTTGCCAACGTCACCCTGACAATTACAAATAGCTCTCATACAAACCCATACCTGTCAATCTTTTTAATTGCTTTGTTTAATTTTAATGTTTCTTTGGGTTGCTTTTTTGTTTTCTTTCTTCCAGACTAAACAACACGGCAAACACTGTAGCAGATATTTTATTTTATTGTTCCTGGAAAATGAGGCTTGTTGTACAGTAGAACTGAAATAGTGATAGTATGGTTTTAAAGGCAAGCATTGACTACACAGTTCAAGTTCTCCGGAGCTTGACTGCCAAGGATTTGGGGAACACATAAAGCAATTGTCCATCACCACACCACATTGAGGTATTTTAAAAAGTTTAGTTTTATGAAAGAGCAAATATGTAAGAGTTTTACATTTTTAGAAATAAATAAGCTATATAAAAAACCAGAAATTACTTAAGTAAATTTGTTAAACTGAAATTGCCTGCTAGAATCTTAAGCAAAACAAATGGTACCTTTATGTAAAAGTTAAACTGATTTCCTAAATAAAACTTCACTCTTAAGAAAGGATTTCTAACTTCTTACTTGAAATCACTGTAATTAAATAAACAATTTCTATTCTAACCTGTGCAAAGCTGTTTCGTGTTTACTGTAATTAAAACTTAAGCATTGATTCCCAGGGCAAAGTTTCAGACAGATCCCTAGTTTGTCTGCATGTGGCAACATCAAAGATTTGCACCGAAAGCATCTTGTAATAGCAAATCTTCCTTGAAAGTGACTGTGTGTGTGTGAGGTCTGTTAAGTGGGTGTATAAAAACTACTCTGAACAGCGCAATGTCTCCTCTAAAGTAAATTTACGGAGTATAGTGGAGCTTTCTCCCAGATAAATAAGTATAAAGCTAATAATTTAAGCAGACACTATCTTTCCACCAGCAATACTGAGCGTAGTAGAAATTTGAAAGCTCGATTATAGATTAAAACAAATACTCAGGCCAAAAATAAATATAGCAACATTATTTAAGACCACATCTAACGGGCTGGGGGGGAGCAATCAATGCATTTTCCAGCCTACTTTGTCATATGGGGACGTTATAAAACCACAAGGAACAGAAGAACATGGGAAGTAGTTCAATCCTATTGTTATTATTGCTATTACTACTGCTATTGCTATTACAATTACTATCATTCGGAGCTCACATATATGCACGCCTGTCCAGATTTTAAAATGTGCTTTCGATCCTTCGGTAAATCTCTGGTGCCTTTACAGTATTTTCACCCCAATGCAAGCGCAGTTTCCAGCCGCGGTCGCAAGCGGCTCTGGTTTGATTTGTACCACCTTACGAGGAAGTGAACGTTTCGCACGGAAGGGGAGGGGCCTGTCTCAGCAGCCAGCGGCTCTCGCAGGCTGCTAATAACATTGCCAGATTAGCCGCAACTTCTTGCTCCCAGCCTAACCTTTTATTGAAGTAACCCTACATTCGAGTTTTCTTTTTTCCCCTCCCTTCCTCTATTTATATAGGAACTGTTTAGAAACAATCAGTTCCGGGTGCTGTTTTCTTTCTTTTTTTTAAGGAAAGCGCTGGGGGGAAGGGTAGATGCGGCAGGTTGGAATATGCAATTATAGTCTTTTCCTTAGCAAGCCGACCAGTCTCCTCCACCCAAATATATGTGTGTGTGTGAAGTAGAATAAGGTCGGGGGCTTGCTCCTTCTTCTCCCCCCAAAACTACGTTTTCCTTCCTGAGTGAAAGGAGAAATCTTTCTGTTTCGTGTTTTATCTCCACGTACTCGAACGCTGTGTGATTCTGCCCGTTTTGTTCTAGGGCTGCAAAAATACACACATCAGCGCGTGGGGGCTTGGTTTGTTCCTGCGACAACAGCAAGTTTTAAGTGAGCTCAGCTCAGAAACGAACTTTGTCCGTGCTTTAAAAAAAAAAAAAACAACCTAAAGACGGGACACAGAAGGTCCGCCGCAGGCGAAACTGCTGCAGCGGCTGCTAACTGCTGATCTAATCTTTCCGAGTGGTGGAGGGGCTGGAAAGGGAGGACTCGGAGCTAGGCGGCAGCTCGCTACATTAGACTTTATTTACATACACAAATCGCAATATACCGAGCCTGCCTGGGCTGGAAAGGCTTGCACGCTTGCGAAAGACTCCTCCTCGGTTGGAGAGCCCAAGAGAGCGGCGAAAGGTTGGTCGATGACTTTCCACGGGCGGATCAGCGTGTGGCTGAAGTCTCGGGGAACTTGGCACCGTTGGCTGAACCAACAGCACCTGCTTTCTCCGGGGAGACCTTGTTTGAGTGCTCCTCCGACTCGGCCCATCGTGGACATGTCCTACTCGCGCCACTTTATGGATTTCCAGGGCTCGTCCATTCCCACTTCCATGAAGAAACTGGTAGCGACTAAGCTGAATTCAAACTTCCGAGAAGCTGTAACCCTTCGCCAGGACGCGCCCGTGCCGCTCCCGGGAGACGGCGATCTGCTTGTTAGAAACAGGTGAGAGAATCCATTCCCCTCCCGCCTCCTTTTCCTCCCGCTCCCAAGGCTTGGCACCTCCGCCATAACTGGAGAGGGAGCAGGCGATCCCTTCCGTTGCTGCCCGCCCTGAATCTTTTCCCAGCAAAGGGCCCGGTGCGCCCCCCACCCCCCAGTCCTCTCGCTGGCGCTCTCTTTGCGATCCTATCGAGATCTGCCTTGGACAACTGTTGGCATAATTTATTATCCCAAATATTCTTCCCCATAACCCCTGGTGCCCACTTCCGTGCAAGGAAAGCGGCCGTTCACTTGACGGCCAGACGGCCGCCAACCCCTCCGTATTTTATGGGCAAAAAGTGGGAAGGCAATTATGCTTTCTCTGCCCGCCCCCCGGAAAAAAAAAACCCATCACCCAGTCAGGAAAAGAGGAGAAAAGTCGGGCAGCGACTTTATCTCGAGCCTGAAGGTGACATCAAGGTGCAAAAGAAGGAACTTCGACAACCAGGAAATGAATTTCCAAGCCCCTCCCAGGTTGGGTAGGATTGCGCCCAGTATCCACAAACTGGGGTATGGGTAGGCGGCTCTTTTTTTTTTTTTTGCCGTATGAAACCTGGATAGGAGATGGCTCGTTGTGCGATACAGTAAAGACTGACAGATCTGTGTGGATCTCCACGTGCGGTTAGTGCCGAGCAATTGGGACATAGTGTTGGAGCTTAGGTTATTTATCGTCATCTTGGGCTGGGTGCGCGCGCATGTAGCACACTCCAGACAGTATTTTAGAGGAAGTTGTGTACAAAACTCTACCTTTTCCCCCCTCCCCACCGCAGGCTTCCACGTCACTAACCTTAAGCGTGTGAAGAATTAACAGGAAAGCAAGGGACCTCCATGGTATGGGGTTACCACCCACCTTTCCG